ACGGTAGAAGCTAAATGCTTGTACTGAATGAAAAGCCTGTTTGGGGCTGAGGAAGGGTGATGGCAGAGTGGAGGAGGCTGACCCACAGCACCCCTGTCAGTCACTGATCATGGGACCTGCTGGCCAAGAAGTGGCAGCGGGAGCGTCAGTGATCTTTTTGCTTGGGCAGCCTAGAGTTTGGAAGCTGAGTACTCAAGCTTGCTCCCTTGGCCTTTGTTTACAGAGGCTTCCCTCAAAGCACTGGTCTGGTGGGCCCCATCAGGACCCTGTAAACCAGAAGATCTGTTTGGCCTCAGTCTTGTTGTTAAGTGCTATCGAGTGCATTCTGACTCATAGTGACCATGTATGAAGTTTCTGAGGCTTTGAATCTTTTCCAGAGGCGAAAACCTCATCTTTGTCCTATGGAGCAGTTGATGGGCTTGAACTTTATGGTAAGAAGTTCAGTACTTATCCTACAGAGAGCCACAGCGCTTCCTAACCTCAACCACAGGTCGACTGAAATCCTGGGTTCACTTCTTAAACAAGGAAACTTATGGAGAGGCAAACCAGCTCAGGGTGGAGGTTGTGTGCCATCGAGTCAATTCCAACTTACACACAATAACCCTGTAGAGGAATTTCAAGGCTGTGAATCTATGCGCGCAGAAAGCCTCCTCTTTCTCCTGCCGAGTGGCTGGAAGATTTGAACTGCTGACCTTGAGGTTAGCAGCCCAACACATAACCACTATACTACCAGTGATCCTTAGCAAGCCAAAAGAGACGTTTAGGTATTTACTTTTATTTTGAAGGCGTTTTAGTGGCATTGTGGACTAGATGGTGGCTGCTAACTGTAAGGTTGGTGGTTTATATCTACCACTGTTCCATGGGAGAATGGTGAAGTCGTCTGCTCATAAAGATTTACAGTGCCAGAAACCCAGTATAGGGTCATTATGAGTTAGCATCAACTTGATGGCAATGGAGTTTGGTTTTGGGGTTTGGCCTAGATAGAGGTACAAAGAAAAGACTACAGCTGATGCCTGCCCAATGGGAAGATAAGACATTCTCATAGAAAACATATATATTGTCTTAAGAGATCCCATTGATTTGAAGTTGTACGTATTTTCATATTTTAGCAACTCGGAAATCAAAAAGCATCATAGCCATCTCTTTTTTATAATGATATTAACAAAAACCCCAGTTATGGTTGAATAGATTCTGACTCTGGGAAGTCCCTCCCAACCCCCCCGGGTGTCAGTAGAACTGTGCTCCTCCACAGGGCTTTCGGTACCCTGATCTTTCAGAAGGAGGGTACCAGACCTTTCTTTCAAAGTGCTTCTGGGAGGATTCGCACTGGCAGCCTTTTGGTTAGTAGCCTAGTGCTTAGCTGTTTGTACCACTCACGGACTTCTTACAATGACAACGTTGCTGTTGTTGGGTGTTGCTGAGTCGATTCCAACTCGTAGTGACCGCATGTGAAGGAATAGGACTGCCTCGTAGGGTTTTCTTGGCTGTAACCTTTACCAAAGCATATGGCCAAATCTTTCTCCCGCAGAGCCACTAGGTGGGTTTGAACTGTCAGTCTTTTAGTTAGCAGCGAAATGCTTAACCTTTGTGTCACTAGAACTCTACAATGATAATGTTAAGTGTCATCTAGTTGGTTTCAACTCATAGTGACCCTGTATAGGATTTCCAAGGAGTGGCTTGTGGGCTTGAACCACTGACCTTTGATTTTCAGTCCAGTACTTATCCTACAGTGCTCCACCAGGACTCAGATTTGATCACTGTTGAATAATTTTCTGAAATTTCAAATGGCTCTCCCCTGTTACTATCCTTTGGACCTTGGGTCACCTTGTTGTGGTTACGTGTTGTGGAGTCAGTTCTGACTCATAACGACCCTGTAGAGGGTTTCCGAGGAGCAGCTGGAGAGTGAACCTTGCGGTTCAAACCAACTTTGCGGTCGAGTGCTTATCCTACAGCATCACACCAGGATCACATTAGGTTACATTCTCTGCCCTTCCTCTCTCGTTCACCTTTCTTTGTCCTTTTCCCCTTTAGCTGGGATTTCATGGTAGTGGACACTGTGCTAGGTATTTTTTTCTTCTTTCATCTATCTTCACAGCCACACTCAGAGGTTGGTATAAACTATTACCGTTAAGCGCTGTGGGGTCAGTTCCGACTCATAATGACCCTGTGTAGGATTTCCAAGGAGCCACTGGTACAGTAAGCAGTCCAGTGCATATCCGACAGCGCCACACTAGCTGTTGTCCCATTTTATATAAGAAGAAATTCAAGCCACTCAATTAGAAAGGGGTAGAGCTAGACTGATTCTAGCGTCTGCTCTGAACTTGAGATACTCAAGCTGGAGGCGCAGGCTGAGAGCATCTCTCTTGGGTGTTAAGTGCCTGCATTTTGTAGGACATGAATTTGGGGAGTAAATTGTGGCTGCTCACAAGTCTTTTTTGTTTCCTCCTCAGTTTGCAGCCAGGGCCTGGGTATGTGAGGTTATCCGTTAAGTGACTGCTGGAAAAGCCAGTGGGGCCTATGAATGGGAAGACATGGATATTTCTCTTGGCATGGAGTAGCTCCTTCCTGAGTCCGCTGCACTTCTGATTGGGGTGCTAGGTATTGGGCTTTAGAGTTCGGCATCAATGGGTGATTCCTGCCTCATCACCTGCTGTTCAGGCTCCCTGAGCTCCTGCTGGTACGTGCATACACCAGGTGATTGCAGGTTTCTGTGCCTGGTAGCTGATTGATTAATGAGCTCAGCTGCCGACAGAGAGGTTGGTAGCCTGAACCTACTCAGGAGAAAGATGTGGAAATCAGCTTCTACTTCATAGCCTTGGATATCCTGAGGTATCCACGTTCTACCTAAGAGTTGGAATCAACTTTGATGCCAGTGGGGTCTTTTTTTTTTTTTTTTTTTTGATGCCTTTGGCCCTAATGGTGTT